GGGAAAAATGAAGGGGGGGAATCGGAGGGAGAGATGAACCATGAGAAACTATGGACTCTGAGAAATAAACTGAGGGTTTTAGAGGGGAGGGGGGTGGGGGGAATGGGTTAGCCCAGTGATGGGTATTAAAGAGGGCATGTACTGCATGGAGCACCGGGTGTTATAGGAAAACAGTGAATTGTGGATCACTACATCAAAAACTAATGATGTATGGTGACTAACATAATAAAATAAAAAACATATCAAATCGTCAGATTGTATACCTAAAATGACTGTAATTTATTTTTAAAGATTTTATTTATTTATTTGACAGAGAAAGACCAGCGAGAGAGGGAACAAAAGCAGGGGGAGTGGGAAAGGGAAAAGCAGGCTTTTCCCTCTGAGCAGGGAGCCCGATGTGGGGCTCGATCCCAGGACCCCGGGATCATGACCTGAGCCGAAGACAGATGCCCAACGACTGAGCCACCCAGGCGCCCCAAATGACTGTAATGTTAAATGCCAACTCTATCTCAATAAAAAAAGAATTCATATCCATAATATAAAAAGTAGTACTGTGTAACTCATTTAAAATAGTTAATCCTATTTTTTGAAAACTGCACAAAAACACTAGCACAAAAGGAATTATCCAAAGGGCCAAAATTTGTTTGAGCAGATGCTAAGGCTAACTGGTCATCAGGACAGTGCACACCCACCAGAATGGTTAAAATTTAATTCTCAAATTAGCCTGCCTTGCTTGGCAAGAATGTAGAACTGGAATTCCCATTTGCTGCATTGGGACCACATACTTTTACCGCCACTTGGGAAAACTATTTGGCACTCTCTACTAAAGCTGAACATATACATACCCTGTGATACCACAATTCCACTTAAAGGTATTCTCCCAGGACAATACAACATGTGTGCACCAAAAAGCATGTACTTTTATAGCAGGAATCTAGCCTCAAATTGGAAACAACTTAAATATCTCCAGAGCAGAATGGATAACCCCATAGTGGCAAATTCCAACCATGAAATGCACTGACTTAGTGCTATCTGCTACATACAATAACCTAAATGAATCAAACACAATGTTAAGACAAAAAGAAAGAAAAATATATGCACCCCAATGAAGTTAAATGTACTATGAAAACAAAAAAAAAGGTTCCTTAACTTGCTCAGATTCCATCTAAGGCCCTATACCTCATTTTTTTTATTTATAGTTGTGTACTTATGGGGGACTTGGAGGTCAGTGGTCCAAAGGTACAAACTTTCACCTAGAGTTCCAGTCCAAGATGGTGATATGGGAAGACCCTGAACTCACCTCCACCACAGACAGCCCACATCTACACCTATTGATATAGCAATTCCTTCTGAAGAACTGAGGGCTGACTGAACAGCTTCTACACAACAAAACATAAAGAGACCACATAGAGAACAAACAGCAAAAGAGAGGGAGACATGATAATGAAGGGAACCCCCATCCTTGCTGCTATGAACTGTGGTAGGAAGGAACTGAGGCACTGAAGAGCAGATTTCTCTGCCCTGGGGCACTGAAAAAAATAGCCTTGGTTTAAGAGAGCAGCTAGAATATAAAAGATCAGCCCTAGAACTCTACCAAATGGCAGGGGAGCTGCTGGAACTCTTTCCAGGTTAGAGGAACTGGTTAGTGCCATGGTTTACATTTCCCCCAAACTTTGGTAGCATAGGTGGATGGGAGCAGGGTCCCGGTGCCCAAAATCCAATATCCTTGATGAACATAGATAAAAAATCCTCAACAAAATATTAGCAAATTGCATTCAAGAATACATTAAAAAGGGCGCCTGGGTGGCTCAGTTGGTTAAGCGACTGCCTTCGGCTCAGGTCATGATCCTGGAGTCCCGGGATCGAGTCCCGCATCGGGCTCCCTGCTCGGCAGGGAGTCTGCTTCTCCCTCTGACCCTCCCCCCTCTCATGTGCTCTCTGTCTCTCTCATTCTCTCTGTCTCAAATAAATAAATAAAATCTTTAAAAAAAAAAAAGAATACATTAAAAAGATCATTTACCATGATCAAGTGGGATTTATTCTGGGGATGCAAGGATGGTTCAATATTTGCAAATCAAACAACAAGATGTACCACATCAACACAATGAAGGATAACTATTATATGATTGAGAGGATCAAAAGATGAAAAAAAAAAAAAAGCATGTGACAAAATTCAACATCCATTCATGATAAAAACTCTCAATAAAGTGGGTTTCATGAATAGCCATTCTTCCAAGGATGACATACAGTTGGCCAACAGACATGAAAAGATGCTAAACATCACTAATCATCAGGGAAATGCAAATCAAAACCACAATGAGTTATCACCTCACACCTACCAAAACGGCTGAAATCAAAAGGACAAGAAATAACAACTGCTGGTGAGGATGTGGAGAAAAATGAACCTTTGTGCACTGTTGGTGGGAATGTAAATTGGTGCAGCCCCTATGCAAAACAATATGGATGCTCCTCAAAAAATTAAAAATACAGTTACCATATGATCCAGTAATTCTACCACTTGTTATATACCCAAAGAAAAGGAAAACACTAATTTGGAAAGATATATGCACCCCTATTGTTTATTGCAGTATTATTTACAATACCCAAGAAAGAGAAGCAACCAGGTGTCCATCAGTCATGAGTGCATAAAGAAGTGGCATATACATGTATTATACACATGCAGAGACAATGGAATATTACTCAGTCGTATAAAAGGATGACATCTTGCCATATGCAACAACACGGATGGGCCTAGAGGATAGTATGCTAAGTGAAATAAGTCAGAGAAGACCAATATCGTATGGTATCACTTGCATGTGCAATCTAAAAATCCAAAGAGATGAATAAAACAAAAAGCAGAAACAGCATCATAAATACAGAGAACATTAGGCTGCCAGAGGAGAGGTGGGTGGCGTGGTGGGCAAAATGGGTGAAGGGGCGTAGGAGGTACAGGCTTCTAGTTACAGACTAAGTCAAAAGGATAAAAGGTACAGCAGAGGGAATAAAATCAATGGTATTATAATAAGGTTGCACAATGCCAGATGGTAGCTACACTTGGGGTGAACACAGTAAACTATACAGAGAAGACAAATCGCTATGCTGTACGCCCTGAAACTAACATTGTAGGTCAACTATACTCTTTTTAAAAAACACTACAGGGCGCCTGGGTGGCTCAGTTGGTTAAGCGACTGCCTTCGGCTCAGGTCATGATCCTGGAGTCCCGGGATCTAGGCCCGCATCAGGCTCCCTGCTCGGCAGGGAGTCTTGCTTCTCCCTCTGACCCTCCTCCCTCTCATGCTCTCTGTATCTCATTCTCTCTGTCTCAAATAAATAAATAAAATCTTTAAAAAAAAAAAAAAAAAAAACCACTACAAAAAAAGATACAAACTTCCAGTTATGAGATAAAGAAGTACAGGGGATGTAATGCACAGCACCCCAACTATAGTTAACAATGCTGCATGGTGTATCTGAAAGTTATGAAGAGAGTAAATCCTAAGCGTTCTCATCACAAAGAAAAACAAACGCTTTTTTTGTATCTACGTGACACAATGAATATCATCTAAACTTACTGTGGTAACCATTTCATAACTGATGTAAGTCAAGTCCTTATGCTGTATACCTTAAATGTATGTAATGCTGTATGTCAAGCCTATCTCGATAAAACTGGAAAACAGTGCTAGAGCGGATAGGAGATGGAAATTTTAAGCAGAGTATGTATCATGAATGCACAAATATATTCAAAGGAAGTCCAGAATGTGTTATTAAAAAAAAAATGTTTTTAAGCTGTTGCCCCACTCGCTCTACAGCAGTCGGCAGTCAGCCCTCCATCTACAGAACAGAGAGAGGGGCCTCTGCCAAGGCAAGTAAGTGGTCCACGGTCACAGGACACACAAGGGACGTGATGTTTGGGCTCTGAAATTCTGCATTTGATTTCTGGTTCTACTAGTGACGTAACCCAGAGCACACTGCTTAACTTCCCTCTGCCTTCGATTCCTTGGGGGGAAAATGAATCTAAGGTGGGAGATCTGCTAAACCAGTGGCCTTGAGAGAAAGCTGCCAAACCCTGTCTGTGTAGGACAAGCCATTCCTCCCGGTTCTCTCCAGTCTGGCCGAGTCTCTTCCGTGCAAGGTTCCCAGCCACGACAGGGTAGTTGAGGTGCGCTCAGATGCCTCGTGAGAGGTCACTACGTTCAAATCATAGTAACCGTTCCCCTAGGTTTTACATCAAGCCTATAGTCAGGGATTACTTCCCTTCCCACTCTTACAGATTCAAATGCCATTTTCTTTTATGAAATGGTGACGGTAGCTGGTAGATTTTTTTCAGATCCTGGCAGGAGGGGAAAAAGCTAGCAAGCAATACTCTTTGTCCATCTCCAAAATGATTGACTTTGGGGAATTAAATATTGTTCTACAAATCCAAAAGCTCCCATGTATCGTACCTGCACCCAGCTTCTATTCAGTCAGAGTCAGAGGGAGACCTAGTTAAGAACAGGCAGGGCTGAGTGTCCAAAAAGCCTTATGTGAAATCATCAACCCACGATGACCTATGTCCAGTCTCTCTCACCCAGATGTCGGACCTGCTAGGAAGCTCAATAAAAGGCCAGCAAGATTTTGCAAGGATGGCAGCTTCTCACAAGAACCAATGTCTTTCTCGGGCATCCCTTACCCAAACATTCATCACTCAATTTTCAGTTTAAATATTTATCTCTCAAAAAAGAAACAGGTACTCTACCAAATTCATCGTGGGCTTCCTGCCAGGCAGTAGGAAGTAAGCATATCTTCATGCTTCAGGGGGTGATTTCCACATGGGGTGGAGTTCAGTTGGAGGGTTATGTGGGTTTATGTTTGAAAAGTCCTGGGTGAGACGGAATCACTATATTGTACACCTAAGACTAACAGAACGCTGTATGTTAACTAACTGGAATTAAAATGAAAAAACAAAGAAATCAGAAAAATCCTAGGTGAGAGAATTTTTTAATCCAGATTTTTGGCAAAAACGGTCTTCTTGGAGATCCCCCTAAAGATTATCCTATGGCTCTCAGTAAATATTCTGACAAGGGGTCTTAATCTGGATGATTTAAGCATAAATGGCTTCCTTCGAATCTTCAGTATTTTATGCATTTGAAAAGCTAATCTTAAGAAGGGTTCCGAGACTTCTCCGACTGCCAGAGGTGTGCGAGTTATAGAAATGTCGGGAACCTCACATCCAAGTCCTGTCGGGTTCTCTCTGGGAGGCGAAAGGCAGGCTGGTTGGTCCTCTGTCACGAGCGCTTTCCCACCAGTCACTTGAATGCCCGACACCTTACTCTCCAAGGCCTCTCCTCCAGTGTCACCTTACCAGAAAAGCCTCACCTGACCGCCTCTGTAAAGTAAGGCTGCCTCCGGCATCCCTGCTGTGTTTTTGTCACGGCACCCGCTTCCCCCACACCCCTTCTGTAATGACTCTGCCCCTCACTAGCCCAAAGCTCAGCGAGCACCCACGGAGGGCAAGGGCCTGCCTTCACTGCCGTACCCTCACTAGCAAGAGGAATGAGGAGCGCATGCAGATGCGATGGCTACTGACTGAATGCAGGCATCTTCTTTCAACAGCTTTGGTGTTAACTGTTAAAAGGAGGCGGCAGTTTGAAATCTCTGAACGGGATAAGATGCTCTGTACGTGAGCAACAGCCCTCAGAAATCTGTCTGCCACAGCAAGCTGCCGTTGGGGACTTTGTCCTACAGATCCATGAGCACGGACACCCACATACAGTTAGGGTTCCTGTGGCACCGCTGGTCGGAATGCTCAGAACAACCGCAAGTTCATTCGCAGAGAACTGGGTAAAACGGTTTTGCATACTCTCTAGGGCACCAGAACCACACCACGGAATTCTCAAGAGCCAGCTCTATGCTGAGAGGGGCAGAACAAGGGAGTCAGAACAGCAGTGAAGGTGTGTGCCAGGCTCTGTCGTCAGGACTCAAGCGCCTTCTCTCCTAAGCCTCCCAAGCACCCTGTGTTCTGTCTCCATTTCACAGATGAGGAGCCTGAGCTACCAGAGAAATGAAATCACTTGCTAAGGTCACGCGGCCAGGAAATGGCAGAATTAGGTCACAAAGCCAAGTGAGCTGGAACCCTTCACCACTGTACCACACTGCCAAAACAGTGGGTAGCATCGTTTATATGTGCTTATATCTAAAGGCAGGGATGACGAGGAGGGCTTTACGGATCTCTCTGCTTTTCCACGCATAGACTTTCTGCAAGGTGCACAGACATTCATCAGAGAGACTGCTCTGGGGAGGCAGGGGGTGCTGTGCCGAGAATTCTCACAGCATCCTCTTTTGTACCATCCCCACTCTTACACACATTACTGAGGCACGAACATGGTGCAAAGATTCAGTCATTGAAATGTGAGCCTGGAATGGACCCCATCATTTTATGGGAGGGGGTAAACTGAGGCACAGACTTGCCTGAGGCCACCCAAGTAGGCAGGAGGAGCCCCAAGGCACCAGCAGGGCCCCGGACTCCCAGCCCCAGTGGGTTCTGCTGCCTCCTCTCTCTGGGTCCACGATAGCTGACTCAGCTGTCACAACTGGAGACTTTCAAAACCTCCCAATTACATCGAATTGGGGGGAAAATTACGATTTGGAATTCAAGTGTTGACACTTGAAAAATACCAACTCCCTTTCACTCTGAGTGCTTTAGCATGTTAGTAAGGCTTTCTCCTCATGTCTCTGGAAAGGTTATTTTCAGAACATTCCACTTAAACCTGGAGATGCAGGTTCTCTGCTGTTTCTGGGAGCTGACACAACAATTTACATTAAACAAATGTTTTGAAAATTAGCTGTTCACGGTTCCAATTTCAGCTTCCCCCAGGGTTTAATGTTAGCCAAATACTGGTACAGTAAGCAGACAATGTGTTTTATTGTGTGGAAGAAAAACAGACCACCATAACAGACTTCCTGCTTTTGTAATCAAGGGGAAAGCTGAGTGTTTGAGTCATTATTGGCATATGGTTATTAGAAACAGTGAGTTCCAAATATAGCTACACACACACACACACACACACACACACACACCCCCTTCATTTCCAGTCCAAAAAGAAAGAAACAGCATTCCTAGTGTTTGGTAAAGTGGGAAGGCCAAAAAGCCGTCAGACAATTACTACTAGGGGAAGATCAGGGGTGACAGGAGCAGGGTTCAGCCCAGGCTTGCCCGAGGCACACAGAGGGGCTGCTCCAATGTCAATAAGCAGCGGGTCTGCATGAACAAGGGCCACGCTCGGGCCACAGCTGGAGGAACACTAAGCCAAGCACCAAGGGCCCTGCTCTGTGGGCAGCCAGCTTCCTGGGGCCCGTGATCCAGAGATGATGGACCTGGCATCTTCATCTTCTCTTTTAACATTCAGAAAGGCCCGCACAGGCACTTTCCCCCTGCTTTCCCTGTTGTCCTGCTCCTCCCCGCAAATGTAAATGTTGAAAGGAGAGAGAGAAACAGTTCAATCTGCTAATTTTATACTTGGCAGGAATGAGTAAGGGAGCATTCCGCGATATCCCCGCCTGGCTGTGAGCCTCCCCCTAGGACTCGTGAGCTAGGTGGGGTGTAAGTAGCTGGAAGGAACTTCCAGGACACTCTTCAGTTACAGGGTTCTCTCTCAGAGAGCTGGGAGTGATTCTCAGCTAGGGGGTTGGGGCAGGGCGGTGGCCTGTGGGCAAGACGATTTCAGATTTTGTTGTATTCAGGGAAGCATTTGTTCACACCCAGCAGTGTGTACAAAAACTACAGCTTCTTCCACCTCAACTACCAAAGGCCGGCCAACAGTGTAGATAGGAAGTTGGGGGGCCGGAGGCCTGCTTGTGGACCGACTCCGGGTGGGGGGACATGCTGGGAGGGTGGACAGGAGTCGGGTGCAAGGGCAGTGCTCCTGCAGCCTGGCCTGGCAAGGTGTCCTCAACTGGGCAAAGGCTTTGGGTTCTGGTGGGAAGAATGTGCTGACACTGCATCTGACCCACAAGGCATCTCTAAGGAGCTACTTCTGAGGGTCTCACAAAATAGGCAGGTCACCTTCTGCCAGAGGTAATTTCCACCTAGTCTGGCTGAAGACCAGAAGGATCACACCTAAGGGGGTGCCCCAGGCCAGGGGGGAGCAGGACAGCTTAAGATTCCATTTTGTTAATGAGGAGCTCTCACTGCCCGGTCCCTGGCTGGTTGGCCCTGGAAGCTGTGACAAGAGCTCAGAGGCTGGGTCCAGTGAGGCAGGAACACATAACACCTGTTCCAGTTGCTCTGGGGCCTCCCACCAATGCTCAGACAAGGGAGCGCGACCACCCGCAGGCCCAGACCTCCTGAGGATCGGGGCTGGGGATTAGCCGGCCTGCCCCACCCACGAAGACATTAGGTCACATTACTAAGAGCGATTCACTTGCCACAAAAAGATCGGCACCTGGGACCTCATCTCAGTCCAACCTGGGTCTGGCAGGAGCATCTGCATAATTCCTCTGTTTTCTTCCTTAACAAGGCAACCATTCTGAAGAGCTAACTGCCTGAACCATCCTTCCTCAAAGATGCTCAGAGAAGGACATGCAGGCATGGCAACATAGTGAGAGTTCTGAGAGTGTCGGGGGCAAGTAGGCAGCCAGCACCCTCAGGTAGGACTCGATGGCAGCCGCCCCAGCACAGGAAAGCTCCTGCACCACCCAGGTCCCTTCCCAGAGGTGTGAGCCTCTGCCTGGCAGGCCAGGAATGGGGTCCTTCCAGCCTGAGGCTATCTGCCCCAGCCTCCTCCCCACATTCCCCTTGCCTGCAGGAATCCAGTTTTTCGCTCAGATTCTGGCCACTGGAGCTGGGCTAGCCTCTCTGCAAGCAGCTCCCACACGTTCCTCCTTAGTCCTTGGATAAGCCCTCAGCAGGAGGGAGCCACTCATGACCTCACCGACCTGCACCTGCCCTGCCCCAACCCACATACCCCTGCCCAATCACGTACCTTGGATTTCCGGGCCCCTTTCTTGCCTCCTGCTTTCTTAGACACGGGCTTCTTCTGGGATGGAGACTTGGCCTTTTTGGCTGGGGGTGGCGTGATGATGGCTTCCAACTTCCCTTTGGATCCTCGTTTCTTTGCTAGCAACTCCGGGTGGATGTTTGGTAACACTCCCCCGCTGGCTATGGTGACTCCTTTTAGCAGCTTGCAGGAAAATCAAGGTAGCAGATGGTTAGCCTATCTACCCTGTCTCTGACCTTCAAGAAGTCTGCCCTGACCATTCACATTCTTGCTTTGCTTGGTCGAGCTCCTTCCTCCACGGCATCTCCAAGGATGCGGACAGGACTCAGGCTCAGTATACAGGGAGCAGGTCCTCAGAGTCCCTCACTCCAGTGAAACTTCACTATCTTTCCTCCAGGGAGGGCCAAATACCTTGTTTCATTCCCTCCTGTCCCCAAATAAAGCCTTGAGGAAAAACTGGCATGGGGGTCAGAGAAGCTGCTAATAATCCAAAACGCAGCGCACACCTCTGACAGACAGCCAAATGCCAACCCCCCTGTGTCTCTTGGGCAGCAGGACTGCCCGCCCAAGCGTCTGGCAGGGGAGGGAGAAGAGTGCCCCATACCTGATTCAGCTCCTCGTCGTTGGCCACAGCCAGCAGGATGTGCCGGGGCGTGACCCGTCCCTTCTTGTTGTCTCTTGCTGCATTGCCCGCCAGTTCCAGAATCTCAGCTGCGGGGAGCAGAGTGGGAGAGCATCTGGTCAGGTGAGAGCGTCAGAGGATCTCAAGAACCCCCCCAGGCCCCACATTCACGGCCCTGGGCACAGGCAGCAGCCTCAGGAAGCAGCTACCCCGAGGCATGAAGCTGCAGATGCTCTGCCCCGCCACACTTTGAGCTGAGTCGCACAGGTGTTGAATGGGACCAGGAGGCCCCTCCGCTCCATCCCCTTTGTTTTGGAGATGAAAACATGGAGGTCCCCCAGTAAGAAGTGGAGCGCACACATGACCCTGTTTCCCACAACGGGCTGCCTGCAGTCAGTCCTCCACATGCCACCAGGACCAACCCTGCGGAGCCAGCAGTGAGCCATGCATCCTGAGCAGCGGGTCATGCCTGCATTTCTGGGACGGCAGGGGCTTGGCCAGTCTCTGTTGACAAAAGCAACAACGGACACCTAGACATTCAGACTCAAAACTAAAAGCCTATGACGGGATTCCACCAAGTCAACATCCTAAATCATAAAGAGAAAGAGGTAGGATGCAGTAGAACAGGCTGAAGAGGCCTAACCACCAAACACAACGTATCAAACCTATCAATGCTTGATGAGATACTGATTACAAAAAAAAAAAAGAAAAGCGAGCTATAAAAGTCATTCTGGACAAAACTGAGATCTGAACATAGACTGGCTATTAGATACTAAAGGATTATTAATTTTCTTGGGTGTGACCATAATGTCACTACTCTGTAGAGAACCCTGTTTACAGGAGATACATGCCTAAATACTAGGTGGTGGAGGATCTTGACATCTGCAGTTTACTCTCAAATAATTGCAACAAACTCCACAGAGTAAAGCCAATGCCGTGATATGTTAAGTGCTATTAAATCTAGGGCTGCGATGTGAGTGTCCCTCATTCAGCATTCTGTATGCTTGACACTGTAGAACTTTCTAAGATTTTATGTGAGAGAAAGAGCACACACAAGCAGGGGAGGGGCAGAGGGAGAAGGAGAAGCAGACTCCCCGCTGAGCAGGGAGCCTGATGCAGGACTCGATCCCAGGACCCTGGGAACATGACCTGAGCCGAAGGCAGACGCTTAACCAACAGAGCCACCCAGGTGCCCCAACATTGTAAAACATTTTAAAAACTAGAACCATGACAGACTATGGACTCTGAGAAACAAACTGAGGGTTTTGGTGGGGGGCTGTTTAGCCCGGTGATGGGTATTAAGGAGGGCACATACTGCATGGAGCACTGGGTGTTATACGCAAACAATGGATCGTGGAACACTACATCAAAAACTAATGATGGGGCGCCTGGGTGGCTCAGTTGGTTAAGCGACTGCCTTCAGCTCAGGTCATGATCCCAGGGTCCTGGGATCGAGTCCCGCATCGGGCTCCCTGCTCTGTGGGGAGCCTGCTTCTCCCTCTCCCACTCCCCCTGCTTGTGTTCCCTCTCTTGCTGTGTCTCTCTCTGTCAAATAAATAAATAAAATCTTTAAAAAAAAAAAAAACTAATGATGTATTGTATGATAACATAACATAATAAAATTAAAAAAAAAAACTAGACAGCTAGGAGCCCAGGCCCTAGTTGGTGCTCGGGTTCATTTGCCCGGCCTTCAGGGCAGGCCCTCATGGGACAGGACAACGGCTCTTCCACAGCACCAAAGATGGGCCGAAATAGCAAGTGCCCTTTGGCAAGAGAGTTTTTCCTCCTCTGCAGCATAGTTCTCTTGGGAAATGTCGACATCAACTTTCCTCATTTTTCTTAACCCAGATTGTCCTAGAACGTATCTTACACTCCCCTCCCCACGTCTGCAATTCTGCCCGCACCACCGCCCTGCCTAGGACCACTCCCCTGGGGGCCGGGCTCAGGCCTGACCTCCTCCTGGTACTGAAGAATTCCTTGTATTCCGGTTTATGTTGTCAGTACTAAAGATCTCCAGCAAAGTCAGAACTCAGAATCATTATAAAGTAAGTAGGGAACAGATCCCGTATTTAAAGCTGACAGGATGCACGATACACATGAAGGAGCGCTAGCGGCTGGATCCGATGCAGTAACGACGGCGTAGAGCGCTGTAAAACTGCTTAGCTCCTCACGCAAACCCTCCCAGTGGCAGTGGTGGGAAACCAGCCACACCTGCCACAGGTTTCCACTAGGAACCCCAGGCAGGAATTCGGTGACTCAGTAATCACGTCACTGATGATACACCGCCCCCGGAGGCACCACGAGGCCTGTGCCTACGTGGCGCTCCCAGGCCAGAGTCCCTCACCTTGTTTCCCATTTGAGAATCACTAGAGGGAGGCCCTGTGAGGACAGGATGAGAACCAGTACATTTCCCACCCTTAACCGTAATCTCAGCAGGACTGTTCCCCCTGCAGCCTGAGTGCAGATGGAGGGGGGAGATGGCCCACCTGCCAGTTCCACTGAAGCCTCCCTGTAAGTGACGGTGGCAGTGTGCTCCACTGTCCAGCGGAGACGGACCTGTCTTGGCCAAGCAGGAAAGGGTGCCTGGGATATGCCCAAGTGACCCTGAGCACCAGGTGCCATGATGCAGAAATGGGCCCAGCCTGGGCTTCTTCCTCCTGCCCTCCCGGAGGATGCACCACACCTGCAACACTGTGGTCCTGCCCATGGCTGGGGAGGGAGCCACAGTAGGAGCCTCACCTGATGCGAGCACAGCCTCGAGGGGTAAAGGCAGAGAAGGGAGCTAGCCATAGCAGTTCTCCAGGGAGGAGCAGCTGGTACCAGAGTTGTAGCCATCTGCCATTCCTCCTGGCCTCCACTATCCCCTCACCTCCTCACCATCCCCTGCCTTCTGGGGCCACAGGGAAACATGGGCCAAACAGTATCTGCAGAGCCAGAATGTACAGAAGGAGTCTGGTGGATTACCACCTTTTCCCAGTAACGTGCTAAGAATGCTCTACCTGGCCTTCATTAGACAGAGACCCACAAGGGTGCCCTAAGCCCACCCCTCTGGCACGCCCATGTGAAATTATGGCTTCTCAGGCAAGTGGACATGGCTTGTTTCCTCTTCCTGCCCGGAGTGGTAGTGAAAGGCTCTCTCCCAGAGAAGGTACATGGCCACTGTGGGGAGAGGCTGTGGTCTTATTTTAGGCACTGCTCCTTTAACTTGTTCTGTGCGCAGGTGAGCATAGTGATGGACGCAAAGACCCGGAGGGAGGGGAGGGTTCGCCACAACTCAGTGGCCTTGGGCCGCTCATTTGGGTGGGACACAGATGGCATGTGACACAAGGATATAAAGCACAGGAGTGACCTGTGAGTAGCACCCATGGCTCAGAAATCTGGAGATCAATTCTCCAACAATCCGCCTCACTTCCCCGACCACCTGCCCAGCCCCCAGGCTCTTCCTCTGTGGCTGAAACCTCAACGGCCAGAGTGTCTCCACTTGGGAACTCTCAAGGAGTGTGCTCACCTACTGCTAACTGGGCCTGGATCCACCTGGGAGTGACCCTGAGGGGTCGGTGTGTCAGGTGGGATGAGGAGCGTTGCAGCTCCTCGGAAAGAGCTGGGCGGGGGGGTCTCATTCCTCTGCCTTCTTCACCGAGGAGCAGGAAAATCCACGACTCCTCTCTTGCTGCAAACCCCAGCTCGCCTTCCATCTGCACATGCCCAGAGGACCCGCCCTCTACGCCCTCTACCGCCCAAGGGTGGGCCCTCAGTTCCGCCTGTGGGGGCGGAGGGGATGTCAGTGGGGCTAACAAAGAGGGGCACACACCCACACTGCAGCGAGTTGAGCAAGAGCCTGATCTTCTGTTTACTCCTGTGTGTTTTCCACAGGGTAATTACCATAGCAACTCCTTTGTCCAGGGACACACGCGGGACAGAGCACCTCGGAGGCGCACCTTTTACGAGAAGCACGTTCCACGCCTGGCCGTCCAGGACACATCTGGTGGCGGGGAGCTGGGGCGCTAGAAGCAGCCCAGAAAGATGGAGGCTGCATCTGACAGTGAACAAAGGCAGGAACCCAGAGCACGAGCTCAGCCCTCGCCAAGTCTCCATGAGTGCCCACCCTCTCGTCCTCAGGCCTGTTTCGGCATCAGCCATCACAAGGGGCTTTCCTGGCCGGGAGAGGGCTGCCTGCTGCCGGGGGAGAGGGGAGGTGGGCGACACCAGCCGCTCGGCAGGACAGAACAGTTCCCCTCGGCTCTGCACGGGGAGAGGGTGCTGGCTGTGAGGAACGGGGGCAGGACACAGCCCCCCCCCAGGAATTTCCTCGTTCACTTCCCTTCCCAGTAACTGATCCTCACCTCTGCGAACGACGGCAGGGTCATGGAAGCCCCAGGCTCAGGGCTGTACACGGTTCCTGCCACCGCCCTGCCCCACACACCCGGTGGGAAGGGCCCACAGGGCCACAAGCAAGGGGGCAGCTCCCTGGGGACGCCAGAGCCAGCTTCAGCTCTGCCTCCACTTGCATAGAACCCATGCCTTCCCGCAAGGGAGGGCTTCCTACACCTGATTCATCTTGAATTTTGGAAGGTTTTATGCATCTCTTAACACCTGCCTGGATTAAGGGAAAAGGATTCTGGGAAAGAGAATCGGGAAAGCACCACATCTACAGGCGCAAGTCCTTTTCACGGTTTCCAGAGCTCAGTGCTTGGTTGGATCCTCCCTTGGAGGGAGCTTTCAGGAGCCACAGCCCTAGGGGCTACAACCAAAACAAATGGAATCTGCAAGAAATCACAGGAGGAAACTGGGCAAGAGCGGTTAGGAAGAGAAGAAACAGACCCCTCACCAGGTTCTCTACCGGCTCAAGCCAAGTCTTCCTGGCCAGCGACAGGAATAGTTTTGTTACCAATGACCAGCAGTGGACAGGTTTGGGGCCCAGAGCACCTGGGGTCAGCTCTGGAGAGGACTGTAAGTGTGGGAAGGTTCCCAATGATAAACGTTGCACAGGGACAAACTGAATGATGAGCAACACCGGCCAGCTTATGAGCTATTTAAGATCTTTTTTAAGATCTAACTTGCAAAACACCCAAATGTCTCTGGTTCCCAC